TATTTTGGTGTAGATGCCATCGTCTGACCTGCACTACAAAGAGAGCCTGGAGCCGTTATTATCACGCTTTTAGGCAGCTTAGTTCACTATTAGCATAATGAGCTACATTACCGACTTAGTAAAGCGTGGGAATGTCCTAATGTCCTAATGCATGGCCACGACTTAGTAAGCCGTGATTTCGTTCCCACGCCTTGCTAAGTTGTGGCCACGCATTAGGATCTCGTTCCCACGCATTATTTTTATTTATACAAGATGTCACCAGCGGGGCTCCGTAGGGGGCTTTCACTGTGAGATGATTTTCTTTTCTAACTCTGTGTTTTAAAAATCTCAGACGCTGCAGACTCGATCTCCACCGTCCCTCTGATTACCTTCGTGTACGGAGCCCCGCTGGTGACATCCTGTATAAATAAAAATAATGCGACTTAGGAAGGCGTGGGAATGAGATGATTAAGTCCTGGCCACGACTTAGTAAAGCGTGGGAACGAGATCACGGCTTACTAAGTCTCATTCCCACGCCTTATTAAGTCGTGGCCACGCATTATCTTTTATTGATACAGGATGTCACCAGCGGGGCTCCGTATTCGTGTGTTAATGTTGATGATGAAATATTACAGTGATGGTGGTGAATAATGAGGAGACGGAGCTGAACGTGTGTGTGTTTATTAGGAGGAGTAATGTTAGCGCGCTCCGCTAAAGCGCTTCTGATGCTGCAGAAATTCTTTAATACAAATTCTTAGCATCAGCAAATTACTCAGCTAATAAGTGCGAGGCTGAAGCTTCTTATTCGCCAGCTTCTGTTTAGAATTCCCCCGTTCCACCTTAAATGGTGCAGCAGTCACACTCTGGTGCCTGAGGCGAGTCTGAGGGCGCAGAATGCAACTGTTGTACTATTTAAGGTGGAACGGGGAAATTTAAGTAAGAAGCTGACTTTAGCCTCGTTTACTCAGTCAAGAGAGCTAACGTTAGCTTAGCATTAGCAAATTACTTAGCTAATAAGTGCGAGGCTGAAGCCAGCTTCTGTTTATAATTTCCCGTTCCACCTTAAATGGTCTGGCAGTTACAGTCTGGTGCCTGAGGTGAGTCTGATGTGCCGGAATGTAACTGTTGTACTATTTAAGGTGGAACGGGAAATTCGAGTAAGAAGCTGATTTAAGCCTCGTTTACTCAGGTAATACAAATGTTATTAAGCTAGGTGAGCTGTTAGCCCAACAACCCTTCATTCTGTAAGTATTCATGCTAGAGGTATGTGGTTGGGGGGCTGAGCTTTTACTAAGAGGAGAATGTTGTTAATGGGCCCAAAGTGTCTGTTCATCATGAACTTTTAGGGTAGCAATAGGTGGAAAATTGATCAAATGTCTATTTGGCCAGTTGGCAGACAGTAGATCTGTTTCTACAGTGTTTTAAGCACAGATCTTTCATGACTTAAACACTATATCTGTCCACCTACACAGATCAGACAAAGGTATTAAAGTCAAACAGGATCAATTAGTTCATTTTTTGTTTGAACGGGCAAAAATCTTCTCACTTCTTCTGACTGGCCTTCTATGGTGCTGCCACCTCTTAACTAATGACCATCAACAGAGTGAGGAATTCAGGGATATACAATTGCTTTACAATCAACACCACTAATAGCTATACATACATAAATATGTAGCAATATATAGCTAATAAAGGTAGTAATAGTTTGACATACTTAATAGAAATATGAAAGCAAATAATCTGTGAAATTTCCTAAACTTCTCAAAATAGTTAAAATAGCTAACGTTCATGCTTCACGTCTTTACCTCACATATACTTTGAAATGAATATTTCATAAACACAATTCCATATTGTAGGTAGACATCATCACTCTGTAACTGCTTTCACTACTATTACATATTTTGAAAAAGGCCTAATCTTTAATTTAATTTTTTTGCAGAGTGAGTAGCACCAGAGACCATCCCCAGGTCTGATTCGATTGGCTTACAACTTATGAGGTCTATATGATTACGCTTTTCCTCAGTGCTAGCAGAGGATCGCCGTCTCTTGTTATGTTAGTAAATCAAAGTTAAAGGTAAATTTGGTTCCAGCCATTAGAGCAGACATTAGAGATTAAACGTTTGGGACACACACTCAAAAAAATATTTAAGCCCAAAAGTTAAAACGTATGTGTTTTAATTACATGTCAATTTTCCATTCAGTTTAAATACATAAATCCAATGTAAAAAATGGTATTATAATTTATGTTTCTCCATCATGTTCAATAAACCTGAATGAATTAAATAATGTTTAAATTAGAAGTGCTTGTAGGATTTATGCAATTTGAGATCACCTACAGTTACAAAAACCATGAACTGTTGATTTGAATATTAAAGGAATCCCTCCCACTGTTTATTTAATCTACCTTTTGTACCCGTTAACATGACCGCTGGTGTTGTTTAGAGTATCTCTCAAAATAAGCAAAATAAAACATTAATATGTGGTCAAAAACATTAAAAACACAAGTTAATGCGCATCACTGTTTCATTGCAGTTGCACTGAATAACAAAGGATGGCAGGAGATTGGAGCTGTTTCATGTCCACCATGCCAGCTGAAGCAATTACCTGGTTGATGATGCGTTTCCTGTTACTATAGCACATGCGCACTGCCTCCTAATAAGATTTAGTGGAAAAATCTAACAGGTCTTATACAATTTAATTAAATCAGTTTGGGATTTATCCAAATTGGGTTGCTTCTAATGAATATAAATAAGTAAAGTTTATTTTTATGTTTTTTAATAAGTTTTATGTAAAATATTTGTTTAATGTTTATGATGGCCATAAAATCATTTTTTTGAGTGCACCAGCCAGAGGATTTCAACATCACTCAGTCTGGAAAGGACAAAAACTGCGTCTTCAGTCCAGAGAGGTTCAAGAGAAAAACATGGCTAACTGTGAGTGCAGCTAAAAACACTCTCCTGCTCTCCTCGCCTGCCCACTTGAGTTCATTCATGGATTGGTGGACTTCGAGAGAAAGGGTTTGGCAAGTTTTCCCAGATGAAAGATCATCGTGTATCTTCTCTTTTCGAGCAGTGAACTTCGCTGGTGGGTCATTCTGCATTACTAAGGCGAGTTATTCCTAAAGCCTGGAAGGTGTGTTTCCCTGCTCTGGAATGTTGTTTGGATGTGTATTTGCAGACCACAGTGATCATAAACTGCTAGATAACTTTAGATTTGTAATGCGATGCTGTTTAACAAGGTTTTGTGAGATCTAATTTTGTTATCATATCACTAATGTTCTCCACTTCCATACCTGCATTACGCTAATCTGTGAATGTGTAATTTCATTGATGGAGTGCTTTTGTGTTTGGGATTGGGCCTTAGTTTCTCCAGAACAGAGCATTTCACACCAAACCACTCTGAATGATCATTTCATTCCACAGAAATTAAGGGGCTGTGACGATCAAACCATCTGCACCTTTAAAAGTGCAGTTCAAAGAAATGCGCTGCACTACATTACAATCTTTCCTCACTCATATTTTGCTTTTCAGAGATAATTTCTCTGGTTCTACATCATGAAGAAGTGCAGCCCACAAAAGGGCACTGAATGTCATCTTAAAGTTAACAAGGAATTTTCTAAAAAAGAAAGTCAACGATCCCTTATAAAACAAACAACTCATAAGAAAACTTGCATTCAGACTTAATTCAGCCTTGTTAACAGAACAAAGACAGAATCTACCAATAAACAGATTATTTTAATTGACTGAAACCAAAAACATACATTTTTATTCAAATACAGGTTCTCTCGACTCAATCTTCTGGAAGACAACATTGATTCTGGAAACTTTTGGGGATTGAAATAATAATAATAACAATAATAAGATGCCTTAAACTAGTCCAGTTTGTACAAACTGTTTAATTTTCAGCACAGAAAACTAAACCTGAAGCACAAAAAGAAATACCGCACACCCCACATAACACTTACTTTGCTAATAGACAATTGACCAATGATGCGGTGTGAATCATGAATTTGAAGGTGTAATTAAGATTTCAGGAGACAAATTTATTTATTACACGTTTATTCATAAAAGGGCAGTTCAAAGTGCTTTACAAAGTGCTAAATAAAAGCAAAATAAAAACAATGCAATAAAATAACGGGGGGAAATAAAAAAACTAAAACGAATTAAAAAAAAGTGTAAAGTCTAAACAGAAAGTGAAAGATGGACAAATTACAAGCAAATCTGAGATCTTCGGGCAGCTGATTCCAGCTTCGAGCAGCAGGCGAGCTGGTTTAGTGCAGCCAAAAGAACTTTTATGCTTCATTTGTTTGGCCAAAACTGTTTCTGCTACATGCTGAATACAGTTTATGTAAAGAAACAGAGTTTTAGGATTAAACAGGTGAAGGCTGACATCCTGCACCGCTTGGGGAATCAGTGTGTTATCCCAAAATTTAAACTGAATTTTGGTCGGCTGATATTTTACAGCAGATATATTATTGCGCTGTACTTTAATTTAACCAGCGTTTTCCTATCAGGTTTTTTTAGGCACTTTGTGGAGGCTGGATTAAAGCTTTGATTTGGATCCATTAGTTCACCCAGGTTTCTGACTTGGTCTTTAGATACTGGAGCTCTGAAGTGTGCACTGACCTTTCAGTCATCTTTCCTCCTCACTGCCAAGTAAAACAACTTCTGTGTTGATTTAGCTGGAGGACATAAAAGATCCTAAAATTCTATTTAAGATTTATTTCTCTTGCACTTTTTACAACGAGCGTCACAAAGCAGGTTCAGAGAAAATCCAGGTCCGAGCCCCAAATGAGCGACAGTGGCAAGGAAAAACTCCCTAAGAGCAAGAGGAAGAAACCTTGAAAGGAACCAAGACTCAAAAGGGGAACCCATCCTCCTCTGGGCGTCGCAGGATTTGCTCTGAGCACTGAATCAAAGTATCTATTGGACCACAGGCTTTTGTGAGAGAGTAAAGTAAACCTGGGAGTTGTCAGGATAACCATGGTAAGTGATTTTGTTTTCTGGCAGGAGTCAGCCTAATGGGAGCATGTAGAGAGACTATGAAGATGTTAATGGAATACATGAACGAACTGAAAGGGGCACAAGGCAGCTTATTTCCTAAAGCAGGAGAACATCCTGGTGAAAATAGACGCTCTCCTAGGCTTCTCTTTTCTTGAAGTCGCACTGTTGGATCCACCTGCAGAAAGAAGATCTGACATTCAGTGTCTGCATACCTAATAATTGAAATGGCTATTTTACTAAATATGTTATGCCTGTTTTAAAGTTATATTGCCATTTATTAAACCTAAACTACACATAAACTTAATTAACAATGTAAACTTACTCATATCAGCAGTGCGGCGACTCTGCAAAGGGTCCTGATCTGAGGTATGACTGACATTATTGTCCTTTCTGGATTTCTGTGATGTGAGAAATTGATCATATTATCAACCTCTTAATCATTTAAGTCTCACCACAATTCAAAGTGTTAATATTATTAATGCATATAATATGTTAATAATATGATGCACGTAATGTTACTGGGCAAAAATAACATTAAAACTACTTAAAAATAATTCTTACCTTTTTGAAGATGCTGAGTTGTGGCATCTTGAGATGGAAGATGATGTTCTTGAGCTTCTTCAAGTTTCCGTTCTTCGCCCTCCCTGTTTCGGGCACTGCAGTTGAAGCATCTGCATCTAGATGCTTCCGTAAGGCAGTCATCAGGGCCTCATCAAAGGCAGAGTCCCGAGGGTTCAAAGCTTTGTGCAGAGAACCTCCCTTACCAAACCTTTGAAGGAGCTCAACAAACGTACCGCTTAGAACTTCCTCTAGCTTTGCAGCACCAGAGGATGCAGAGAACTCGCTGAGAATTCTTTCAATCAGCTCTTTCGGATCCTTGGAGCTCGCTTCTTTTGTCAGGTCTAATGAAGGTGTTGCTGACTGCGCCAGATTTCGAAGAACCAGCCAAGTTGCCAGGCTGGCTTGATCCTTTGTGTCCGACTGAAGCAAGCATCTGCTTGACACTTGGCTTGGTGACAAAACATCGTCAATGGTCTGGCTGGAGACCAAAGGTTCCTCTTTGATAGAGGGAGAGGAACCAGACTTAACCGACGTAGGACGGTACAAGTCTTTAGGGTCTGCATTCTTAATTGCCCTAACGATGGAGACTGCCAGAGATCCTGCCAACAGCTCACTCTGGGCTTTTACAGCTTCAATGAGCTGGTTTTCGGATCCGATTCTCCGAAGAACCTCTGCATACACAGTATCAATGATGGAGCGGTGAAGTTTTTTGAGAGCATGTTCTCCATCTTCTACTGTGACAGCAGTAAAAAGGGCTAAAATTCCTTTGACTGTGTCCGTAACATTCTGGACCTGGTCCTCATCAATTAAGAGAGGAGATCCATGAACCCCAGTGGATGACATCTCCTGTACTTTGTGTAATATTGCACGTATGCAACAATGGAGAGCATCCACGGAAATGGTTGGAGGAGATGTCTTGAGTTTTTCAGAGCTGTGTGAGTCACTTTCAGGTGTCTCTTCAGCATTTGAATCCACAGCATTCAACTCATGATCAGACAGTGCCGACACTTTGTCCATCACGCTGTTCACAATTACTTTGGACAACAGATCCATTGTGTCAGCAAACACCTCAGATGGGGGTCTTGAGATCTCAAAACTCTCAGGAGTGACTCTGAAGGGCATGACCAGACTTGGAATGTCTTTAGCAGTGGTAGAAGCTGGTCGAGGGGCCATGCAAGACATGAGCAAACATTTTACCGACTCGTCTGCGAATTCGACAAGAAACTCAGAAGCAAAGGACCGTTGTAGGTCAGTGTGTTTCTGCCGTCTTCTCGTGCCAAGAACAGACTCTGACATGTTCAGAGAAGTTAATCTGTCCATCAGTATGAGCTGCACCATTTTGGCGAACTCCTGAGGGGCTGCGGTGGAAAACAGGTCCTCCACTCTTTTTGCTGCTGCAGCTAACTCCTCAAGAGAGTTAAAAGCACCTGAGCTCTGCAAACCCAGGGAGGCCATCATGGTGCCCAGTAAAGAGGCCATTGAAACTCTCTCTCTGCTCTTGGGTGGCTCATGTTCATCCATCACTAATGGTCTTTGAAGGTGTGATATCTTACCTCTACCCTTAGATGACTCAGGAGTAGGGGTCCCAGGAAGTAAAACAGTGTGCTCAGATGACACAATATGACGAGATCTGTCTGGATCTAAAGAAAGTTTGTCCATGTTTGGTTCCTCTGAGCTGCGATCATTTGACAACAACAAGCCAAGGTGGTCTTTATTTGCCAGAAATGTCTTGTCAACAGTTCCCCCAACACTGATCTCTGAAAGATCGACCTTAGGTGCTTTCTGCTGATACTTTGCAGAAAAATCCCTTAGGTGTCTCATCGCACTGTTGTAAGTAGTACACGCAGTGTACCACAGAATCCCTTCAGAGGCGTCAACACCTGATTCCATCCAATCCAAAGGTTCAGAACGTGTTTCTTTCAAACCATCGGATAATATCGTGGAATCCAGATGTTCACAAATTCCATCAATGACAGAATCGACGAGGTCGAATGCCTTGACCAAACATTCAGACGGAGTTGGTTCCACACTGCAATCTCTTTGGCTTACAAGGAAGCTTGAAGACTTGAGTAAGATTTTACTCACTTCCTGAGCTGCCTTGGTCCGTGTATCCTCATGCTGGATTTTTTGGAAGCTCTTAGCTGAGAAGCTTTGAAGGAAAGAAGGTACCTGACGATCCAGAGCAGTGGCAGGTATGCCGTCTCCAAAGGATGGACCTGAGACCTCTTGAATGTAAGCCATTAAATGGTCTACAAGCAACTCAGACATGAGAGATGTATCAGAGGAACATTGTCCAAGTACTGACTGATCATCCTCAGATACCTCAGACTTTGTAAATGAGTCCAGTTGGACTAACAGCTCATCCACAAAGATTTTGGCATATAAGGACGCGTTCCTCAGAGTTTGTCCAGGAACGGAAGTCTCCATCTTGCAAGCCATATTTGACAGTTTCATAAGGCTGGGAATTCTGTGAAAGGACTTAGCTCTTTTAGGTGCTTTATCAGCCATGCTTTTGCTTGCACCACAGGCTGAATCAGAGCTGATATCGTCACTGATCGGTGAACTCTGAGAGGATGTTGTTGTGTCACCCAGCTCGGATAGTAAACATTCAACAAAATCCGTGACGCTCATCTTTGGAGGGCAAGACAAATCTGACGCACTCTTGAGTTCTTTGGCTTGATAGATGGAGCAGACCTCAAGAATGACATCTTTTGCACATTCACGAAGTTGTGCCTGATCTTTGGACGTCAGATTCTTAGCGCTGGGCTCAACAGACCCACATGAAGATGCCAGGAGCTGGTCTGTCACATTTCTACGAAGCTCAAGCATGTGAGAATCTTTCTTTGCATCAAGAGTGTCAATGACGGTCTTCACAATGGCATTCATAACTTCTTTGGTGACTGACACCAAAGAATGGTTTGAGGATCCTGGTCTCTTAAGGAAAAGCGACCTGGCATCCATATTTAGAACTTCACAAAGCTTCGGAATGACGACCTTCTGTGATGCTGTGGTCAGAATCTTCTCAATGTTTGTGTTCATTCTGGTGATTTTTTCCCTCGTGAACTACAAGCAAAAGAACATATTCACAGTATAAGTCATCACTAGCATTGTCTTACAGGGTTCATCTGCTGTGATTTCACAATAATCATATTACAATAAAAATATGATTTAATTGTATTTGAATTATAAAACTCACCATTTGATGCATTCCGCCTAGCATCACTTGTAGTTGCCTGAAAGATGAAAAAAATGCAGAACAGCCATTTAGTGCTAATGTAACAGAGACAGCGACTTTTGCACTAAAATGATCATAAATGTCAACAAATTCATCATTATTGAGTCTTGTATATTTAATAACCCTAGAGGGAAACATCATGTCTGTTAGCTTGTTTCATCACATTTTATTGGCTACCAGCTGCTAAAGAATCGGGATTAACCAATCAGGATTCAGATCTGTTACCATCACATTAATAATTTGAAAGCTAACCCGCTAGCAACACAGCTGTAATGGAACATAAGCCATAATAAATGCTGTATGTTTTTTTATTCCTTATGCATTGTAATGTTATTCATATGTATATTTCATATTTGTGTACTTGTATATACATTTGTACACTGTGCTGGATATTTGTATATTTGTATTCAATACTGTACATTTGAGTAATTCCTGGCTGCACCACTCAATGCTGAGTACATACCGATCAGTCAGGCTCTGTAGGAAACGGGAGACGTCCTGAGACTTAGCAGAGTCACAAGGCTCCGAGAGAGAACCTGCTGCTGCATTACGAAGAGCTTTCTCCGCCATGTTAGACTCTCCTGAGATATTAAAACACAGAAAAAACAAGAAATCAGGGAACTGAAATACAGGTAAACCTACCAGATTACACCGTTACACAGAGTTACCAACTTCATCCCACAGCAGCCTTTGGTTTGGTATGACACTCAAACGTTAAAGTGTTTCCACCATTTCTCCTGCTAACGAAATAGCATTCTCCACAAGGGGGCGCGACTAGCAATGCGTGCGTTATAGTAGTTTAGCAATCATTATGAATATGTCACTGTCTAAACAATCAAGCATAATTAAAACAATTTTTTTATCTTTATTAAAAATTTTTATTTTATAACAGAATTTTTTAAAATCTATTGGTATTATTTTGGAAGATACGTTGAAATTGAGTATTTGTACTTTTACTCAATAACAACAGTAAGAGAAAACAATTTCAATAAGAGTAACAATTTTACTCCTCTCATTGTCATTTAGACCTTCAAAGTACTCATAGTACTTGTACACACAGTACTAGTAGCCTAGTAATAACAACATCAATAAAAATTACAACAATACTAATAATAACTGATAATTGATTGTATAAAACAGAATAACCAGCATAAATGAGAGAGAGAGAGAGAGAGAGAGAGAGAGACAGAGAGAGGGAGAACATAGAAAGAGAGAAAGAACAGAGAGAGAGAGAGAAAGAACAGAGAAAGAGAGAGGAGAGAGAGAGCGAGAGAGATAGAATGGGAGAGAGAGAGAGCGAGAGAGAATCGGAGAGAGAGAGCGAGAGAGATAGAATGGGAGAGAGAGAGAGAGACAGAGAGAGGGAGAACATAGAAAGAGAGAAAGAACAGAGAGAGAGAGAGAAAGAACAGAGAAAGAGAGAGGAGAGAGCGAGAGAGATAGAATGGGAGAGAGAGAGCGAGAGAGATAGAATGGGAGAGAGACAGAGAGAGAGAGAGAGAGAGACAGAATGGAAAAGAGAATGGGAGAGAGAGCGAGAGAGATAGAATGAGAGAGAGAGAGAATCAGAGAGAGAGAGCGAGAGAGAGAACGGGAGAGAGAGAGCGAGAGAGATAGAATGAGAGAGAGAGAATCGGAGAGAGAGAGCGAGAGAGATAGAATGAGAGAGAGAGAATCGGAGAGAGAGAGCGAGAGATAGAATGGGAGAGAGAAAGAGGGCATATATATTCTGGTTCTTTTTCTCAACTTTTTTTCTCTATGCTGGTTCTTTTTCTCTTTTTTGGTTCTTTTTCTCTATTTTGGTTCTTTATCTCTGTTTTGGTTCTTTTTCTCTATTTTGGTTGTTTATCTATATTCTGGTTCTTTATCTCTTAGTTTAATGTCCTGATTTGGTTCTTCAGGTGTAAATAAGTTGAAACTGTACTCACCTTTTATCTGGTTGTGTACGGGAGAAGATCCGCGCTGTTCTGTCTGAGAATACTTTGGGTTCTGGATAAACGACGTCGCACATCCGAACTCTATGAGGTCAACAAACCGACTGAACACGAGGCTGAAAAGTCCCGCTATTTATAAGAAGGCCCCGCCCCTTTGTGACGTCACAGACGCTGCTCGGTTACTATGGAAACCAGACTCTACTCTACGCACGCACGCACACACACACACACACACATACATATATATATATATATATATGTATGTGTGTGTGTGTGTGCGCGTGCCTATGTGTTTGTATAAACCCCATTAAATAAAACCCGTAGTTTTTATTGATCATCTCTAAGCCGTTCGGCGATGTTTATCGGTGCTGGTTGGAGTTTATTGCTGTTCACTGCTGAGAGTTTCAGCGGGGCGAACGGGCGCGTTCTCTTTTTAGCTCCGTCTCAAATCGCTCCCTACTCCCTATCTGGTGCACTAAGTAGCTCTTATAAAAGCTAATAGCTTCTACATCCAAACAAGGCGCTGTAAATATAATAGAGTCATTTGGGATTCAGCCACAGGCTGCACGACTTCTCACTGGACATGTAATTCACTATTTTGGTGTAGATGCCATCGTCTGACCTGCACTACAAAGAGAGCCTGGAGCCGTTATTATCACGCTTTTAGGCAGCTTAGTTCACTATTAGCATAATGAGCTACATTACCGACTTAGTAAAGCGTGGGAACGAGATCCTAATGCATGGCCACAACTTAGTAAGCCGTGATTTCGTTCCCACGCCTTGCTAAGTTGTGGCCACGCATTAGGATCTCGTTCCCACGCATTATTTTTATTTATACAAGATGTCACCAGCGGGGCTCCGTAGGGGGCTTTCACTGTGAGATGATTTTCTTTTCTAACTCTGTGTTTTAAAAATCTCAGACGCTGCAGACTCGATCTCCACCGTCCCTCTGATTACCTTCGTGTACGGAGCCCCGCTGGTGACATCCTGTATAAATAAAAATAATGCGACTTAGGAAGGCGTGGGAATGAGATGATTAAGTCCTGGCCACGACTTAGTAAAGCGTGGGAACGAGATCACGGCTTACTAAGTCTCATTCCCACGCCTTATTAAGTCGTGGCCACGCATTATTTTTTATTGATACAGGATGTCACCAGCGGGGCTCCGTATTCGTGTGTTAATGTTGATGATGAAATATTACAGTGATGGTGGTGAATAATGAGGAGACGGAGCTGAACGTGTGTGTGTTTATTAGGAGGAGTAACGTTAGCGCCCTCCGCTAAAGCGCTTCTGATGCTGCAGAAATTCTTTAATACAAATTCTTAGCATCAGCAAATTACTCAGCTAATAAGTGCGAGGCTGAAGCTTCTTATTCGCCAGCTTCTGTTTAGAATTCCCCCGTTCCACCTTAAATGGTGCAGCAGTCACACTCTGGTGCCTGAGGCGAGTCTGAGGGCGCAGAATGCAACTGTTGTACTATTTAAGGTGGAACGGGGAAATTTAAGTAAGAAGCTGACTTTAGCCTCGTTTACTCAGTCAAGAGAGCTAACGTTAGCTTAGCATTAGCAAATTACTTAGCTAATAAGTGCGAGGCTGAAGCCAGCTTCTGTTTATAATTTCCCGTTCCACCTTAAATGGTCTGGCAGTTACAGTCTGGTGCCTGAGGTGAGTCTGATGTGCCGGAATGTAACTGTTGTACTATTTAAGGTGGAACGGGGAAATTTAAGTAAGAAGATGACTTTAGCCTTGTTTACTCAGTTAAGTCAGTCAGGAGAGCTAACGTTAGCTTAGCCTTAGCAATTACCTCAGCTAATAAGTGCGAGGCTGAAGCCAGCTTCTGTTTATAATTTCTCGTTCCACCTTAAGTGGTGAAGCAGTTACACTCTGGGGCCTGAGATGAGTCTGAGGGGGCAGAATGCAACTGTTGCACTATTTAAGGTGGAACGGGGAAATTCGAGTAAGAAGCTGATTTAAGCCTCGTTTACTCAGGTAATACAAATGTTATTAAGCTAGGTGAGCTGTTAGCCCAACAACCCTTCATTCTGTAAGTATTCATGCTAGAGGTATGTGGTTGGGGGGCTGAGCTTTTACTAAGAGGAGAATGTTGTTAATGGGCCCAAAGTGTCTGTTCATCATGAACTTTTAGGGTAGCAATAGGTGGAAAATTGATCAAATGTCTATTTGGCCAGTTGGCAGACAGTAGATCTGTTTCTACAGTGTTTTAAGCACAGATCTTTCATGACTTAAACACTATATCTGTCCACCTACACAGATCAGACAAAGGTATTAAAGTCAAACAGGATCAATTAGTTCATTTTTTGTTTGAATGGGCAAAAATCTTCTCACTTCTTCTGACTGGCCTTCTATGGTGCTGCCACCTCTTAACTAATGACCATCAACAGAGTGAGGAATTCAGGGATATACAATTGCTTTACAATCAACACCACTAATAGCTATACATACATAAATATGTAGCAATATATAGCTAATAAAGGTAGTAATAGTTTGACATACTTAATAGAAATATGAAAGCAAATAATCTGTGAAATTTCCTAAACTTCTCAAAATAGTTAAAATAGCTAACGTTCATGCTTCACGTCTTTACCTCACATATACTTTGAAATGAATATTTCATAAACACAATTCCATATTGTAGGTAGACATCATCACTCTGTAACTGCTTTCACTACTATTACATATTTTGAAAAAGGCCTAATCTTTAATTTAATTTTTTTGCAGAGTGAGTAGCACCAGAGACCATCCCCAGGTCTGATTCGATTGGCTTACAACTTATGAGGTCTATATGATTACGCTTTTCCTCAGTGCTAGCAGAGGATCGCCGTCTCTTGTTATGTTAGTAAATCAAAGTTAAAGGTAAATTTGGTTCCAGCCATTAGAGCAGACATTAGAGATTAAACGTTTGGGACACACACTCAAAAAAATATTTAAGCCCAAAAGTTAAAACGTATGTTTTTTAATTACATGTCAATTTTCCATTCAGTTTAAATACATAAATCCAATGTAAAAAATGGTTTTATAATTTATGTTTCTCCATCATGTTCAATAAACCTGAATGAATTAAATAATGTTTAAATTAGAAGTGCTTGTAGGATTTATGCAATTTGAGATCACCTACAGTTACAAAAACCATGAACTGTTGATTTGAATATTAAAGGAATCCCTCCCACTGTTTATTTAATCTACCTTTTGTACCCGTTAACATGACCGCTGGTGTTGTTTAGAGTATCTCTCAAAATAAGCAAAATAAAACATTAATATGTGGTCAAAAACATTAAAAACACAAGTTAATGCGCATCACTGTTTCATTGCAGTTGCACTGAATAACAAAGGATGGCAGGAGATTGGAGCTGTTTCATGTCCACCATGCCAGCTGAAGCAATTACCTGGTTGATGATGCGTTTCCTGTTACTATAGCACATGCGCACTGCCTCCTAATAAGATTTAGTGGAAAAATCTAACAGGTCTTATACAATTTAATTAAATCAGTTTGGGATTTATCCAAATTGGGTTGCTTCTAATGAATATAAATAAGTAAAGTTTATTTTTATGTTTTTTAATAAGTTTTATGTAAAATATTTGTTTAATGTTTATGATGGCCATAAAATCATTTTTTTGAGTGCACCAGCCAGAGGATTTCAACATCACTCAGTCTGGAAAGGACAAAAACTGCGTCTTCAGTCCAGAGAGGTTCAAGAGAAAAACATGGCTAACTGTGAGTGCAGCTAAAAACACTCTCCTGCTCTCCTCGCCTGCCCACTTGAGTTCATTCATGGATTGGTGGACTTCGAGAGAAAGGGTTTGGCAAGTTTTCCCAGATGAAAGATCATCGTGTATCTTCTCTTTTCGAGCAGTGAACTTCGCTGGTGGGTCATTCTGCATTACTAAGGCGAGTTATTCCTAAAGCCTGGAAGGTGTGTTTCCCTGCTCTGGAATGTTGTTTGGATGTGTATTTGCAGACCACAGTGATCATAAACTGCTAGATAACTTTAGATTTGTAATGCGATGCTGTTTAACAAGGTTTTGTGAGATCTAATTTTGTTATCATATCACTAATGTTCTCCACTTCCATACCTGCATTACGCTAATCTGTGAATGTGTAATTTCATTGATGGAGTGCTTTTGTGTTTGGGATTGGGCCTTAGTTTCTCCAGAACAGAGCATTTCACACCAAACCACTCTGAATGATCATTTCATTCCACAGAAATTAAGGGGCTGTGACGATCAAACCATCTGCACCTTTAAAAGTGCAGTTCAAAGAAATGCGCTGCACTACATTACAATCTTTCCTCACTCATATTTTGCTTTTCAGAGATAATTTCTCTGGTTCTACATCATGAAGAAGTGCAGCCCACAAAAGGGCACTGAATGTCATAAAGTTAACAAGGAATTTTCTAAAAAAGAAAGTCAACGATCCCTTATAAAACAAACAACTTGCATTCAGACTTAATTAAGCCTTGTTAACAGAACAAAGACAGAATCTACCAATAAACAGATTATTTTAATTGACTGAAACCAAAAAAAAACATTTTTATTCAAATACAGGTTCTCTCGACTGTGATCAGCCTCCAAAACTAACAAGTGAAAATAAAACATTCACTTAGTTTCCCCCATAAACTTAAACACTGAGAATTAAGACGAGGGACCCTGCATGTTCGATCTTTTGGAAGACAACATTGATTCTGGAAACTTTTGGGGATAAAACTAGCAAACATGACTGGGAAGTATTTATTCCAGGGGCTAAAAAAAACAAACAAAAAAAAGTAATAAGATGCCTTAAACTAGACTAGTTTGTACAAACTGTTTAATTTTCAGTACAGAAAACTAAAACTGAAGCACAAAAAGAAATACTGCACTCCCCCATAGCACTTCCTTTCCTAATAAACAATTGACAAATGATGCGTCCTCATTTTGATCAAAGGCATTTTCTGAGAATATACGGTTCATTTTAATCACGTGAACAACTTTTGGTAACTAAAGCACTTAAACAGCCTTCATCACGGCAAACTACCTCAACAAAAGACTTCATAGGACACGTCCATAAAGAAAAATACTGACTTATTTGGTTAATTAAACCTTGCAGGTCAGTTTTCTTTCGGCAAACATCCGCTACAGGTTTTCTTCTGGCATCTACTCCTGACAGACTGAAGAGGAGAAGTAAGAAGAGCAAAAGGCGCTGACCAAAAAAATTGCAAAAAAAAAAA